ATGCTTCAACCAGTTTCTCTCGTGCACGTCTTTTCTAATGTGCACATCTGACAGTTCCATACTCTTTCGAAATTCAAAAGCCGAAGTCCATCTACTTCCGTCGTCGCCTTGGTGAAAAAAGGGCAAAACCGTGCCTACGACGACGTTTAAATATAGCAGCGAGTTCTCAGTTATAACCATCCAACTCCCACTTTGCAGCATCCGCGTGCATATTCCTTCTTGCTGCATTTTATCAATGACATACAAGAAGTTGCAAAAGCTCTCTACTGTCTTTACAGGAAAATATTTTTAAGAAGATAGGAAAAAATGAAGTTATTAAAACTACTTATGTATTCCATTTTATAAACTTTTTCTATCAATTAAAACTGTAACTCGTACAGCTTATTTTATAAGTTCGTAACTAACATTATAATATTATAAATTAATTAATAATGTTAATAAAAAAATGTTATAAAGTAGTATTATAAAGTAATCAGCTAGATTTGCTATTTTATAACAATAAAATTATTCATACAATTTTAAATAAAATTATTTGTAATTTTAATTTTAATTTCTATTTTAAATAATTTTGGAAGATTTTTACAGTATATCTTCATCTGTTTTTAAAACAATTGTTTATATTTTTGTTATAGGCTGTGGTATTTTTAAAGATATCTTAACGAAGCGTCATGAAAGCTAAATCCAGCGCGTAGCGAGAATTCATTTCTTTTTTTTTTTCTCGAGAGGCTTCAAGTTGCATAGCAATAAATATCGAGCTCTATTGCGACGCAAAGGCAAAAGGAGCATAAAGCGGATATAAAAGAAAGAGGAATGGTACGCTCGATTAAAAGCATTCACGCCATCGTTTGCAGCCGCGATTGCTCCGTCTGGAATATTCAAAGAAGCCGTTAAATCCCTTTCTCCGTTCAGTCTAGGCGACTGTTTTGCCCTGCATCTTCGTTCAAACATTTAAATGTATTCGAAGCATTTCAATCCGTGAGCGCCCAAAGAAAATTATTAAGCCAGATATATTATTAATAACGAGCTGTAATCTCACCGAGTTATATATTTCCCATCTTCAGGTAAAATTTCTTTTGCCATTTTCATCACGTTTAATAATTGTCTCCGTCTATTGTTGGCAATACAAAACACAAGTTGCAAGCATCTTCTCTTATGCAAGACTTTTTTATACAAAAAATATAATTAATTAAAAATTAAATGGTATCAATTTGTAAAGACAAATAAAATTAAAATAAAAACTTCTGGTATCTTCTTTATAATCAGTCAGTCATTTAAGCTCAAGGCCTAATACATCTGACTTAACGTTTAAAGCGCAAACATTTGTAAATTTATTTATGTCATCAAATATGCCTCGTGTCATTCACTTATTTCGAGGCAATATGATAGGTAAAGATATTATTATTTTATATGCAAAAAGATGGTAGAAGTATGTGTGTGTTTAGGATGATGAATCAACAGGGAGAAAGCCTTCATTTATCACGAGCGAGCATATTGCTTATGTTTGTAGGACAAATGAAAAATAAATTCGAAGAAAGTGACGCGAGAGGAATACTAAAAATGATTACTGAATGCACATAGAGACTTATTATATGTCAGCATGACGTTACTTATAATACATAGAAAAATATTTGAACAATAACTTAAATTCGCTGTATTTAATTGAAATTATAAATTAAATCCTATTGGGCATACATCGCATTTGGAATTTTTATTTATCTTTAATCTTTAGTTTAGAATTATCTTTATGCGTTTTCACATAGATCAAATTGCATATTTTTAGAAAAAATTAAAAGTTTAATTTTAAATTAATATATTCAAATAATTAAAAATAGACGAAAAGTTGAGGAAATTATAATGCGGATAATGAATCAATTTACAAAGATATATACCAAAAATAAAAAATCAAATTGACTTCAATTCTTTTGTGCAATTTATTCTTTATCTTAAATGTTAATATACTTGTGCCATTTTATTTTTAATCTTTTGTTTTACTGTAAAACTTTGTTTTTATTCTACAATTAAAAGTTTTGATATTAAGCTAATCTACTACAGTATCCGTTTCTGAAAGTAGATGCAATTCGAGCCTGGCAAAGACAGGAATTGTCTGCGACAAATTTCCTGTCTCACGTGATACATCGACGCATACTTCCGTTCGCGCGTTGCTCCAGACTCCAGTCACCTGAAAGAGTCGAGAAGGAAAACGGTCCTCCGGCCCAAGGGTATGCTCTTGCATCCAAGTCGCGTACAAAGATCCATATTGGCCGACGACAGCAAACCTCATGAAGGCTCCGGGGATCTCTCAGGAGCTTTCAGGAGGGAGCTGTGCCTGTGCCTCGACGTGTTCTGTATCAAACTTGGCGCGAATAAAGCTCTAAGACAAATCCCCTACGCAACACCGTACGGCTGAGTTTTCGTGATCCGCTTTGAAATTCGACACCCGATACATCACGTCACCTCCAGTCCGCGTTGATCGCGCATGTATATTTGAGGTGGAAGAAAGCTTTACGCGCACGAATATATGCGGTGCGGGCAGCAGACATCGTCTGGGAAAGACCCGGCTAATTTTGCTAGCCGTGCGCCACGTCCGCGTCGTCGCGTCGCGTCGGACCGACTTGCGGCGCTCGGATGCACGAAAATGTTTCTGGGAGGCATGCAGCCGGGATTTGTATTTAAACGTCGCTAACGATCGCTTCGACCTCCTTTGAGTTCTTGTATTTAAACGATCGAGTCTCAACCGTGCTGCGTTTTCCAATGAGCCACGATCGATCTTTTATGATCGCGGCATTTGTGGTCTGACACGAGCCGGACTATATCTACTGAATGCGTGGGATCTTCTTTTTCTGGCCACGATATATTTTTCATTGCAATAAGGAAACATAAATCGTTTAATCTGGGAATGTGCAATCTTCTAATAAACATATTTTAAACGATAAAAACGACAATATTTTACTTTAAACAAGCAAAAATTTTATGAATATCTTTTTAATATATCAATCTTTAAATTACTTTTATTTTCAAATAAAAAAATGTTTTAGTTTGTATCAAAATCAGAGGATAACTACAGTTTTGAAAATATTATATTAAATTTAAATGATTTGTTATTTATGATGGTAATCTAAAAATAAAAAAGGTTCCAATTATTTTATTTTAATAATTACTGATTTTAGCTACATAATTTCTCTTTTATTATGTATACATATTTAATATGATGCCATGTTTTGTTTTATATTTAATAATATTTAACTACGTAACCATTGAATATTTTGCGAAAATTTAATAATTCATTTATATTAGATATATCTACAAACACAAGTATTACGCTATGTTTCTATTTGGCTGCCGTTTTGCAGAATTTCATTTCCTGCGCGTTGAGTTCTCCACTATGCAATGCGGCAAAGTCAGCAGGTACAATTCTAACGAAATATTCGTGATAAAGGAACGAATTTAATTACAAGCTCGCGAGATCTACGATGTTCGCGTTGGAAACATTACCGGAGCGGTATATCGCGCCGCTCCGGCTGTAATTTCGAACTAAAAGTGAAAAACTCAACGCCTGGAAATGTAAATCAGTACGAGCAATGACCACCATAATAATAAAAAAAATATTCCCATGGCTCGGCCCATAATTCAAGCGCGAGCGCGCGAAACACCTGCGAATGCGCCGCGGAAAATTATGCACCGCGAAGCACAACAATCTAACAAGTTGCGTCGTTGCCTAACGGACGAATAGATACGCGCCGTTGCTATTTAGAAAGCTTTTCGACTTAGCGGTACTTCGCAAACACCCGGTCTAGTCCGCGGGTGGAATAAGCGAGCGCGCGACCCGGACCTTTGGACGATAAAGTTAATGGACTTCATTTACATTGCATAATTGCGACGAAAGCGGAGCCAGCACTCAAATTATACGCGAGGACCAACGACCAGAACCAACAGCAAAGGTGCCCTTTGAATATTCGGTATGCTTAAAACACTCATTTACACTCTACACGTCCGTTAAGTACGCCGTAAATTCGCGACATTGAGAGTTAATCGGCTATTGACATAATGTGTAAATATGATATATTTTTGTTACATTAAACTGTCATAAAACTTTTCATTCGAATGAGCGAATTACGATTAATAATCGCATTTATGTGTTGCATGCCTTACTTACCCTCTTCCTGTATGCTGGTTTATCGTCGAATACTTTAAGAACTTTATCTCATAACAATATACAGCATCTTTTATCTCTAATTAATATTTGCAAAAATTTTCACAAAATTTCTATAATAATAATAATAATAAATAGTTAAAAAAGCATTAGACAAAGATATTAAAACACTTTCTTACTGATACGCTGCATATATGGAGGTACCGAGATAAACGTAATATGTCAACATATTATATGTTAGAATTAGTGTCAATAATATAGTCCAGGTATTTTTCGCGACAATGCAAAAGAGAGATAGCGATACTTGACTAGATCCTACGTCCGAGATAATATAAATGTCACTTTGCGTACGTTCGCATGCGGATGCAAATTCAACTATCCATTTCAATCGATATCCTCGCGCGGTGCGTTCCGTTAAAAACACGTGGTCAAGTATCGGGCGAGAATCGCACGGATCGTCAAGGAGGATATCGATTTCATCGATCAAAGTACGGAAAGTACGTTTATTTTCGATGAAGTGCATCATCGTGCTGTGCCAATATAGGAGTCCGCTGATATTTTTTTTCGCGTGGCGAGCGAGCAATAAAGATATCAAGAGGCAGAAAGTTGCGTATAGCTTTCAGCACATTTGCATAGAGTATTGCCAACAAATCCGCGCCAAAAGTAAACGAACTGATGTGTTACAAATGTAGAAATGCGATTACACGTAAAGCGGATATCTTGCAAAAGGGTTTTGTTATATATTATCGATTCTTCGATTATTTTAACGTTTGTTTTCCTTCGCATCGAGTTAAAGATCTCCGAAGCACTAAATCAAAAGCCAGACAACGCACGAAGACTGCGAACTTACGTAGCTCCTGTACGACGCCATGATCCTATTCCATTCAGGAGGACAGCGGAGGAATTTCGAAAAGAAGAAAACAGGTACCCAGAAGCGCTTCCGGCAGCTGGAGCTTCACCAACCACCGTGTCAAGCACAGCAGCATCCACACCACCGTTACGTCACGATTCACCGGCACCGACGGTCGCCCGAGTGCGACAGGATGTTGAGGAGGAAGAAAGAACGCGGTATCAAGGCCACGAGTGAAGAACCCGAACGATTATTTCGAGAAACACACCTCCGCGACCCCATAGATAGAGGAAGAGTGGCGAGCGCTGCGAAGGCGCTTCGTTTCGAACGAAGCTCGGACCCTGAAGAGCCGGCGACCCGCAAGGCATGCCGTGGTCCCTCTCGTTCTCTCTCTCTTTCTCACTTGCTCCCTTTCTCGTTTTCTTCTCACTCCGCGATCTCTCTCTCGCGATCTCTCTCTCTCTCTCTCTCTCTCTGCGTCTCTTCTTCTTCCTTCTTCTCGACTTCCCTTCTGCCCGACTCCGTGGAGTCAGCAGCTCCTTGTCGCACTCGCGGTGCACACTCGAGCCCTATTTTAAGAATAGCTTTGTACTTTCTCTGTCTTGCTCTCTATTCGTTTCTGCTTCTTCGTCTTCTGCTTCGCCGGCTGCGAGATAGACGTGGCTGCGAGAGGAAAGACCGGGGATAAGGATAAATCTCGTATGTGAGAGTACGTGCGTTTCCGTTCAAGCGAAAACGAAATCGCGATATGATGACAGGAGTGGTTAACGAAGCTATTGACGTAAATAACGTAATACAAAATAATGATAACTTAATAAACTGAAATGTTAATGATAGTCCAAATTTAACGTTGACAAAGCTAAGGAACATAAAATTATAAATATTGTTTTTTTAAATTTAGATTTGTTAAATCTTTAATTTTGTAAATCTGAATTATTAATTATATTAGATATTCTATCGTTATTTTATTTTTATAAATTTAGATTTACGTTAAAAAAAATTTCTCTTGCTCTAGATTGTACAAAATTAAAAAATTTTTATTTTACATATTTTTTAAAATCTTATTTCTTCCTTGGTCTCATTTTTATTTCTTACATAATGGACTATCAGAAAATAGCTATTTATATTACATGGTAGTTATTTATATTATCCAGAAAGGAAGATGAAAGACACTATCATCTAAACGGATTTTCAAGGATGCAATAATATGTACAAATTAGGTATATTTCAAAGGCGTGATTGAATTATTCAAAATCTATAGCTTTAATCATCAGATCTTGAAGAAATTTCGAATTCTGAGAGCAAGGTGGTTTGCTCGAAGATAGAATGAAACACATGCGAAACTGAAGCCATCTTCCCCAGGAAATGAGGGCAGTATTGTCACAGGATCGTTTCCACTAGCTGGATTCTCTTTCACGCGACGATGTGGTCTCTTGCGAGAAGTCCACAGAACTTCACAAAAGCGGAAACTCCTTCTAAGAAATCGGTAGCGGAGAGTATCCCCAAACAGGATTTACATTGTTACCGTTGGAACAACGTGGAAGGGCAAGGACGAGAGACTTTAGGGTGTTCTGCGAAGAGAAAAGTTTCACCGAGTTTCCGAGTTGATGTTAGAATGTTGACAGATTCCAGCTTTGAACAGAATAATTGCGAGAATTCCTTTGGAATAGAGAAATTCCCTTAATGCAAACATTTCGTTATTGAAAAATCTTTCTTCTTTTATAGCATTTTATTTTTTAAAAGATCATGAAATAAAAATTTTCTTACTCTACATATAATTTTATCAGTAATTATATAATATATAATTACAGCATATAATTGTATAATCTATAGCAAGAGAAATTCTTCGTCTTTAAATATATAATAACAATAGCATATCTAGCTGTATTATAAATAATATTATAATTAGGGTTTACAAAAATTATTCAAAGATGCAATATAAATACAAAACAATATTTACAGTGTCAATTTGATATTTAGCAATCGTTAAGTTTGAACTATTTTTAGTGTTTCAATTCATTCCATTATTATTCTACAAATTATATTATTTATCGATATCTTTGTTAACTACTCCTGTTATTATTGCACATTATTATTTAATGTACTATTTTAAGTTATACTTATTCCAACTCATAAAACCCAATTAATATTTAATTACAATAGCTGACTGGACTTTGTGCTGCCAGCCCTCGTGAAGCTTTAGAGTGATATTGTCTTTTGCTACATATCGAGGTAGATATCAAATGATAAATACGGCACATGAAGAAAGATCTAAAGCAAAGTTATCGATGGAGGCTGCAGCAAACTGTAATGTTCAAGTTGTGAGCTTTCTAAATCGGTGGCGCTACGAGAATATTCTCGAAAGCTCCCCACAAAGCTTTAAATTAGTAATAAAGCTACAAAAATAGCTCGCGTTTTTAACTTCAGCATATATTTAAATAGATATAACATCTAGGATTTTTTAAACAAAAGAAAGGAAAAATAACATTATATAGATAATAAAAAATATATTAAACGTGATTTGTATCTGCATCGTTTATTATTAATATGATTAATTAATCTTTAATAATTTTACCTATTGATGTTGTAACATACACCATTAATTATCTCTCTATGGAACCTGTCTACATTAAATGTTCCTAGTTTATCGCCTCTCTTTTCTGTTTCACAGTCTTTAACAAATTTGAAGTGGATTTAATCATTAAATGAAAAACCATTATTTATCAAGCATTCCATTTTTAACAATAAATGGATAACAATAAATTTAATAATTTTTATAACCGTTTTAAATGTAAATTTTATACTTTAAATTAAGCATACTAATGCTTGAAATTAGGTAATTTAGGCTCGTCACTTAATTATATGTACAAAACTTAATTTCGATCCTTAATTACATTGTTTAAAACACTACACAATGCAAAATTAGCATCTTGTGCACAATGAAACATGCTGCTTTTCTTTTAGAATTAGAACGTATATTAAATACCATCTCAAAGAAGAAAAGACGAATCTGGTACATTTTGTACATTACCTTAATATCCTCATGTATCACCTGGACATGATTGGAACGTGCTGCAGGATAAAACCGAGAGGAATGTAAGACACAAACTCGTTACCTAGATCCGCATTTGCGACGACATTGATAGATTCTCCATAATCCTCGTACACGCGTGCCACGAGTTAGCCGCAATCACACGCTCGAATCGTTGGTAATTAATTATCTCTCTATAGAAAACGTCTAGATAAACAGTACGACGTAAGAATCGCGAAAAGAGTCAGTGGATCCTCTGTGCTCTTACCGCATATCCGAAAATATTTTGTTCCTAATATAAACCCGCGCATGTGTATATAATAAGAATATTACACAGCGTTTTTTTTTGTCTACGATAAACTCTTAAATTGACATTACTTATAAAAACTCTTAGATTATCCTTTATAAAAACCTTTCAAATTTGTAAACATATTTTTACTTCGTACTCTAGCTTTAGAATTAATTGAAGAAAGTTGTAATCACTGCGTGATGTATCAAAATGAAAATAGAAAACTATCGTAGAGAAATTAACACGTGACTAACGAGGAGTTTATAACCACTTACCCTACTTTCAGTGGATATAGAAGAGTATTATTCAGACAAGAATAGAGCGACTTAGTCATCCCGAATCTCTGCGGCAATATTGAAAAACTTTGGCTTGAGTTTTTCGTAATAATTTTGGACGATGACTCAACATCATCGAAGAATCACGAACGCTTTAATAGATAAATTAATGTTTCATATAATAAATAAATATATAAAAATATATAAAAAAATTAATACTTTATTTTCAGTGCTAAAAGATAAAGAATTTGTACAATAGATTATAAAATTTAATTACTATATAATGTAAATAAAAGCATTTTGTATTGAATAAGGATTACTAGTATTTTTAAAAGGGTAAAATTAACATAGAAATTTATAATACTTTTTTTTTAAATAGGATACAGTTCCATGTGTAGTAATATATCCGGCGCAGTTATATGCAAATTACTATTAAGATTGCAGATTATGTATTAGCACAGCTCGATTTACATCTTAAAAGAACAGCAGATTATATTGTTTACAGTTTAGAAATTATTTTAAAAATCATTATTATATAAATGATCGTCGCGGATTATCGAAATGATTTTCATACGTTGTTTTATAATTATATTACTGGTTATTTTATAATTATATTTATAATTTAGAATTATTTTTAATTAGTTTTATAATTATATTTATGATTATATTAATGATTATATCAATGATTATAAGAAAAAGCTTATCCTCAATCGCAAAATAACGATAGAATGAAGTGTAATCGCATCTAATTTCGATTTTCTTAATCAGATACAGTTGCATGTTTTACAGTAAATTTAGCAGCCTCATCATTAGTAAGAAGTTTGTAGCGACCACTTAAAAAGCCACCTGTTGACCTCTTCCTGAATCCTAAACCGATATGTTCTCTATAATTATATGTACATGAAATGCATATGACAGGTGCGGAATTGCAACAAACAGTCGAAGATGTTATAATATGAAAATAGGACACGATATTAATAAATTCAAAAGCATATCATCTTTGCTTTTTACATATATATTAGCTACGATTATTATATATTAATATTCAGATAGTAAACAAGAGACTTATACATAAATACCTTTATATATAGCATTTATCAGCTTAAATTTAAAAAGTAATTTAAAAATAATTTAAATACAATTTTTTAATTTTATTAAGCAAATATTTTTTATATGTAATAAGAAGAAAAATATTTCAGTTTTTACAATAATAATAAACAGACACTTTCGCTTAGACACACAGATATAATAAATCCTTACAATTGTGTAGAATAAATAAATGCCAAAAATTCAAAGCAGATATAATTTCACATTTTTTAAATATCTCTTATTTCAAACTTCGTAATGTTTTTATTTAAATATACTAATGAAATAATAACAAAAAGTAATTAATAAAACATTACCTAAACAAATAATAGAATTAGAAGAATATTAAATCTAAAATCAATTTTACAAGGAATATAATAAATATAAATAAAAGAATATCAATAAATAAAGTTTTTTGTATTCAAAAATAATGGTTTTTAAATATAAAATATCAAATATAAATAAGAGAGAGCGATTGAGAGATTAAGTGGAAAAAAAATGAAGATGTGACTAGCCTGCTTGAAAGAAATAAGTAGGGAAGAGAAGCAGATGAGAAAGCTATTTTCGCGTTTGGTCCAACGATGTACCACCTCTTCTCTCTGACACCTGGAATTCTCCACCAGATCGAGCCACATACTCAAGAAAAGAGGTGACGAAGGGTGAAGAAGGGGATGAACACG